TAACACTGAGATAAGGCTATAGTAATAGAGCACAGAAATGCTTACCTGACACTTTATACACTGAATTCTGTGTAGGTTTAGACATGGCTTTGGCTGTTAAGATTCTCAATCTTAATAACATATAAAACACTACACAAAAAAAGGTTGAACAGAAGAAGAATAACAGTAAGACTATATACAATATAAGACCGTCCCATAAACACATGACAGGTTGGGATGGGCTAAATCTAAAGCAAAATGGACCTTGTACAGAGCCAAAGCAATACAGTGTGCCACTATTCAGAGTGAACACATTAAATGCTTAACTGCTTCATTATTTAGTCAGGTAGATTGTTACTGTGATCTCTAAAGTCAAGCTTTTCATGCCATTTGATGAAGTACTGTAAGCTGAAAGATGATTTTCGTTTCATTTGATGAATATCACTGTTAAAAGTGACTGTAATGACATTCTTTATTTCTTTTCTGCCATCTAAAGAGATTATATGTCTTATATACATACCTAGAATATTAATTTATTCCTTGTAACAATTTCTAAAACATCAACTACTAACACTGGAACAGAACGAGAAATAAAATACCTTTCTACAGATACAAATACAGTGCCATTCATAAGTTTGGGATCAGTAAGATTTAATAAGATTTTAATGTTTTTTAAAGAAGTTTCTTATGCTCATCAAGGCTGCATTTATTTAATCAAAAATAGAGAAAAAATTTCATTTTGTGAAATATCATTGCAATTCAAAAGTACCAGTTTTCTATTTTAATTCACTTTAAAATATAATTTGTGAAGCAAAACTGAATTTTTATTACTCATTACTCCAGTCTTTAGTGTCACATGATCCTTCAGAAATCATTCTAATATGCTGATTTATAATCAAAGTTGGAAACAGTTGTGCTGCTTAATGTTTTTTGGGACATGTGATACTTTTTTTAAGGATTATTTGATAAATAGAAAGTTAAAAAGAACAGTGTTTATTCAAAATAGAAATTTTGATTTACAATATACACTATTCAAAAGTTTGGTGTCAGTAAAGTGTCAGAAATTAATACTTTTATTCAGCAAGGATGTGTTAAATGGATAAAAAGCGATAGTAAGACTTTTATATTGTTTTATATTGTTAGAAAAGATTTCTATTTTGAATAAATGCTGTTCTTTTTAACATTTTATTCATCAAAGAAATAAAGTATCACAGAATGAAAAAGTATCACAGGTTCCAAATAATAATAATAATAATAAATAAATAAATCAAATAAAGCAGCACAACAGTTTCAACACTGATAATAAATCAGCATATTAGAATGATTTCTGAAGGATCATGTGACACTGAAGCCTGGTGTAATGGCTGATGAAAATTCATAGCTACCTCACAGAAATAAATTATATTTTAAAGTCTATTAAAATAGGTAACCAATATTAGAAATTGCAGTAATATTTAACAATATTACTGTTTTTTTTCTGTATTTTTGATCAATAAAATACAGCCTTGACGAGCATAAGAGACTCTTACTGATCCCAAACCTCTGAACGGCAGTGTATATATAGGGAATATAGGGAAAGGAAAACAGACCGAAATGACAACATCATGAAAACATATAACATTAAGTTACAGATTTCCCAGATTTCCTGGGGTTCGGTGCCTTGCTCAAGGGCACCTCAGTCGTGGTACTGAAGGTGGGAGAGAGCGCTGTACATTCACTCCCCCCACCTACAATCCCTGCCGGTACGAGACTCAAACCCGCAACCTTTGGGTTACGAGTCCGACTCTCTAACCATTAGGCCACAACT